GTTCAATGTCTGATGCAAGGTGTTAATAACAAGGCCAAGGTTGGAGATTCAACCTATTAGCTTCACTTTGTTCTGTAGCTATAGTTTCTACCACCAATCAGGCCAGCTGCCTCAGAAGACATGCCAAGAGTCAAAAGGAGTATTGGTAAGAATGTGTGATTGGATACAAATCCATCACCACTACTGAAAAAACAACCTAAAAGGATATTTCCTACTTACATCACCTCTAAGTAACCTTGGGGCTGAAACTAGAAATGAGACCTTATGACAAAATGTATTTTAGAAATCTTAAAAACTCTCCTACCTCTTCAGGCTGTAAGTACCATCAAAACTCATAGAAACAGAAAACCAGGATCTACTGTTTTCGAATGATGATAATTTTAAGGAAGACATGCAATTCAAAAATCTAATTAGTTGGAGCTACTTTTTTGATTACATTATGTGCACCTCCCCTCTGATTTTTTTTTAATCTAAGTTAAACGTAAATACAGAATGCTCATAAATACTAATGAATATACAGACTAGAAATCAACTGATAACCCAAAATCATCTGAGACAAACAAGTGGTACCCAGAGTAATTAGAAAATGAGGATATATATAGGATGAAAGAAATATACATTAAATAAAATGACTGAAAAAATAAATTAGAGAGAAAGAGACCAAAGTAATCAAGACAGATGGAAAATCCAGTAGGCTAAGGAAACAATGTTGTGAAGACATACAGGAGTGGGCACAGAAAAGATAATGCAGCCAATAAAATAGCTCAGGGTGTCAAGAGGCTTCATGCAAGGGTAACTTCCCAGCTTGAACCTGAAGTTGTGACTTTACAGGCCAAATCCACATAAGAAAACCCTTTTTAATTCTTTGAATAGAAACAGCAAATAAGACAAGTGGGGTGAACATTCAGTCAACATTTCTTTATTCAATCATTCACTGGGCACATATTCAGCACCAGATATATTAGCATGTGATTATGCACTGTAAAAAGTAATCAAAGAAACTCACTTAAGCAGTACATTTTATAACAGTGTACAAAATGGAAAACCAGACTAAGGTGGCAGAATAGTACCAATATAGCATCAAATTCTGCTGTATAACTTCTACAATTCTAAGGCTCAGGCCTACCCTAGCTACCATATCCAGCCTACAGTGTTGTTTTATCAATATCCTACACAAGAATCAGAGCAAAACCAACAAGAAGAAAATTATGGAATACAGCCAGATAAACAGTGTGCTGAAGTGAATTTTTTCACAACTCTCTCTCTCTGTGGGGCAGAACATGTGTGATGAATGGACAATAGCAGGATATACAAGAGCTGCTGAACAGCTCACTGAAGTAGACAATACCAAGCAGGACTCACCAAAGAAAATTACTTTTTTTAAGGATGCAAAATGATGTAATTCCTAATCATATATAGCTGATTAGGAAACTGCTATGTGAATATCATATTAAGAATGAAACTGTTCTTCTGTGACCAAAGATATCAGGCCTATGATGACCTAGAAGGCAAAGCTAGAGCAACGGCAATTCTGAGCTGACTACAGATTTATAGATACATACATAGGCAGTAGATATATAAATATCAAGATTCAATATATGCTTAGTGTGAACTACAGATCCCACAAGAGCTAGTCACCCAACTTAAATGGAGTGTGTCATTTTCCAAAAAACAATGGGCAACCACATAGGTTACAGTACTATTTTTCAGATTTATATTCTTCCTACTTCCCAGAACAGTGTAAAACATTTTACAAATTAACACATTTAAACATAATATTTAAAATGAATTCATCTAACAGAAGTACTTGAAGAAATTAAAGATGAGTATATTACCAACTTCAGTTATAAATCTGACTTAAGTCTTTTGCCAAATTGAAGATGCATTAATAGTTTCCATTTTCAAACAAATAGGAAATATAATTTTTTGCATAAACAATTTTCCTTGGAACTAAACTCAGCAGAAATTTGTTAATCGAATGTGTAAAAGACAATCTGTAACACACTGAACAGTATTATTAACTATTATTCTACAGGAGATATCAAAACAATTTCACAAGGCAATTTCCTAATTGAAAATTTGAAAATGAAAATTTCCTAATTGTATAAAACAAAAGCATAACTACAATTTAAGGGTGAGATTTCTGCAAAAGGCTGAGATAATACAGTTCAAACACCAATATTTTGCTTTATTATAGGCTAACAAAAGTAATAAACTTAATCTGGGTAGCCACTTAACATTGCTTTTATAACCACAGTTGTCCACCCCCGTCCCCCATGTACTAGAATCATCTGTGACTGTTACCCTAAATTAAGTTTAAAATTAGGCTTTCTAACAAGTGTCTACAATGCAGCTTTTCTATAATGTTGATTAAAGAGAATACCACAAACAGGTGTAATGATTCATGAAATAAAAGATATGAAAGAATTTAGCAGGGTGGACTGTATACAGTAGACAATCAAATGTTATTTTTCCACCTTCTAGAGAAGAGGAATAAAAGCTGGCATTTTCCTGTGAAAGTAGAGTCATACTTATATTTTTGTCTGGAGGGGATGAAGCTAACATACTCTAGTCAAAATTCAAGGAGTTCTTAATTTTCTCAAATTCATATGTAACATAATGTTTCATTAAGAAGTTAAATATATATATATATAAACTTTAAAGTTGCTGGACTTTTTTTTTTTTTTAGAAAATAATTGTGCTTAAGTGGCACAGGTAGGTACACTAGTTTGTAATACTAACAGACATTTATTTAGTGTAATTGCAAAAATTCATAACAAAGGTTATTATCATCAAGTATTATCATTAAGATAAAGAATTTTAGAGCTCCAAAGGACCTTACAGGTTTTCTAGATCAACCCCCTTATTTCAAAAGATGAAAAAACTGCAGACTGGAAAGGTTAAATGATACAGGCCAAATCACTAGCTGAGCCTAGGACTTTAAAAGAGCCTGAGCCTCCCGACTTCCAGTACTTTCTTTCTAACAACACTATGCTGCCTCCTGTGGTTCCAAATCCTCTCCCTTGGATGAGATTACTAGTTGCCTCATTTTTGTTCTTTACATTCTATCCTGAGCCATAGTTGTCATTCGTAATTCTCCCATAAAATTGTAATTTTCCAACCTGTTTTCTGAATGATTTTACAGCTGAGTGTAAATCCCCAGCTTTCTAAATTTCCAAGTAATAAACATAAACTTAAAAAATACTTAAAACAAATGTACACTGTACATAATCAAACACAAAGAAAAATTCTTCTCTCCTGGATAACTCAATATACAAATTAAAAAAAAAAACATTTATTAAGCACCTCTGACAGGCAGGGTCTCTGTTTAATGCTGGTGATATGAAGATGAATACGATCCTTGTCCTCAAGTAGCTTATAGCCTAGTAGAGAAGACAATTAAACCAACAATTACACTGTGCTTGTTAAGGACTCTGAAAACAGTGTGGGCAGGTTGCTATGAACGCATTTAGGAGAATCTAATTTAGAACGGTGGGATCAGCTAATGATTTCCCAATGAGGTCCCGAACAGCCACAGGAAAAAAAATGGCAGTATCACCCATATCTAGCAGAATCCAAAATGAATTAGAAGACACAGAGCAACTTCAATTTATTCACAGGAAAAAGTGAAAATAGTGTTTTCACAGCGGTTTAGTATCTAATAACTCTCTAATAACAACTAGACTATTTTTCAATGGAAAAGAACCTGATTTCATTGTGGCCATATAACAAATACAGGTCTTCCAATTATTTCTTAATAAAATTTTAAATCATTATTTTAAAACCAAAGGAAAAAACTGCGTCTGAAACACGTGTAGTTAACATTCACAACAGCTCTCTGCAAAGCTGCATAGTAAAGTCCTCCTCAAAATCCCATCTGGTACAAGAGAAATAACCTGGAGAACCGGTAGCCCAAGAAGGAAGAAAACTACCACTCATTAGTTACTCGGGAAAAATGACTTTCAGCTGCAAGATTCAGACCAGAGAAGCACGGTGGGTATTTTTACTTACATTTTAAAGCAAAGGGGGGGGGGGGGGCGCTGGTGGAGATCAGAATGTAAGGAAAATAGTAAAAGAGATAAGTGAAGCGAAGGGAAAGAGACGAAAGAGTCGGCAAGAAACCAAAAAGCAAAGACTTAAAGACGAATGGAGAAAACACTGGAGGATGATTCTGGAAAGAGTGGTCAAGAGAGAAAGGCAGAGAGGAAATGGGGGGAGGGCTATACAAAAAATGAATTAAGAAGTAATGAAAGATTAGAGAATGTAATGAACCGGGGCTTCCCCAGCCGCGGATAAAACGACCTCGGAATACAAAAGGTAGAGGAGCCGAAAAAGAAGCAGTGAGTTTTAACCTCCTCTTTCCCAGTCTCTAACCCCCAGAGAGGGAGAAAAGACGTTCCCAGTCCTAGGGAAGGAATTCCGGCGCAGTCTTCTAGAACCAGAAGCGGCGAGCTGGGGCACCATCCAGCGAGGCCCCGGCCCCTCTTCATCCCCCTCCGACGCTGGGCAAGGCCCTGGGCGTCCCGGTTACCTGGACAGGGAATCCACGCTGGGTGGCCGTGCTACTGCCGGCTGGGAGCCAAGACTCTCGCAACTCGAGCTCTTCTCCATGGCGCGGCGGAGGCAGCGGGAGAGAAAGCCTGCAGCGACCTCCGCGGCTGCCGGGCTGGAGAAACGGAGGGCGGAGTGCGACTGGCAGGGGCCGCGGTCAGGCCCGCGCCGGCCCAGGAGGGAGACCGGAAGCGGCCATGTTCCCCCAGCTTGCACCGCGCGCGGGGGCTGCCGGGGAGCCGGAGGACCCCGCGGCGCCCTCAGACGCCCGCCCCCCACGCGCCACGCACGCTGTGACCCCCAGCGCCCCCACGCACCGCGCCAGCTGTGTCCGCCGTGCCTCCGCTGGTCGATGGGAAAGTGAGGGGGCGGCACCGGAGGGGAGGGGATTCCGTGAGGCAGGAGGGACCAGGGCTGCGGAAGGAGGGGACATTTTAAAAATAAGAGAGAGGAAACAGGGAATGTTACGAACGAGCGGTGACAGGAATGTGGAGGTCAGGGAAAGTGGGAGGACAGAGTAATAAAGGAACGTGGGCAAACAGTAGGATGAGGGGGCAGAGGGACTTGGGGAATGAGGAAGGGAGGAAGAGAACATAGGGACGCGTAAAGGATAAGGATATGAGAGATGAGATGGCAAAATGTTCACCGGATTAGGGGCTGAAAATAATGATTAAATAGTTGTTCATTAAATCATAAAGGCTGCTTTAGAGTTAGTCATGCATTCAAATCCTGCCTCTGCCAGTTATTTGCAGTGTAATTCAAGGCATGGAACATCAGCTTCCCTATCTTTAAAATAGGAATAATAATAGCTTCAGAGATTAAATGAGTTAATACATGTTAAATGCTTAAAATAATGCTTGATACATAGAAAATACTCAAATGTAAGTAGTATTACTACTGTCTCCGTAGGGGTTGTTAGGATGGAATGGACTAATGTATATCAACGGTTTCTAAAACAACTTCAAAAATGGTGGCTGTAGGAGGGGAAGATGTAGGAAGCAGGGCTGAGAAGTAAGCAAGTGATTGGTATGGGAAGGGTAATAGGGAAAGTATAAAACAGGTAGAGAAAAAGTTAATGTTCATTCTATTTCCGTTGCACCCCTGGCCCAGCATTGTAGAAAGGGCGCTAGAACAGAAGCTGAAACTTTCAGTCCTACTGTGAGTTGGATTAAAGTCTCTGTGGTCTGGAAGTGTCTGAAGGGGAAAATCACTTTTGGCATTAATCCATTGTCCACACAAAAACAGTATGAAAGAGGAAATGGGGAAGGAACTGTTAATTGTGTGAAAACATTAGACACATATACTGTTGGATGCAGTGGTGTTGGACAGAGGGCAAACTTTTAGTAATCTTTCCCTGTCCTCTCAAATTCCCAAGCAGGGCAGGAAGGGAGGGTAGAGGGATAGAACTGTGATAAGAGAACCAGAACTGGGTGAAGGAGAAATGCTTCTGCTGGTAATTTTCTGTTACAGAGGACAAAAGAATGCCATAGGAAGGATACATAAAAGAATTTTTCTGATAGAGACTGAATCCCAATCACCTCGTGTATGTGGTATAAAAATATGCAAAGATTATTTCTGAAAAACTTAAGACAATGAGTCTTTAAAAAAAAAACACTTCCTTGCTAGGATAAATAGAATTATGTTGATTTAAACTATATTTAATTTATACTGACAACTGATGTTTTTAAGAAAATCTTAAAGTATTGGGCCAGTGCAATTGAAATATTAACTTGCAAGTACCTTCCCCAGAGGAACAACTAGCCTAGTTGTGTTCAGTATAAACTATAGTACCTATTACAATGAATGAATATGTGTTTAAGCAGAAAGACGTGGCCTTTCTGTTCCATTCTCCAGCTTGGCAGGGACAGGATGGTAACTGATGGGTTTTATTTCTATAATTTTTTTTTTTTTTTTTTTTTTTTTTTTTTTTTTTTTGCGGTACGCGGGCCTCTCACTGTTGTGGCCTCTCCCGTTGCGGAGCACAGGCTCCGGACGCGCAGGCTCAGCGGCCATGGCTCGCGGGACTAGCCGCTCCGCGGCATGTGGGATCTTCCCAGACCGGAGCACGAACCTGTGTCCCCTGTATCTGCAGGCGGACTCTCAACCACTGCGCCACCAGGGAAGCCCATTTCTATAACTTTTAAAGAGAACTGTACTCCTCTGATAGGCAGAGAGAATAGGTAGTCAGGAACACTTGACAAGAGTAAACATCTACAGTGATTCATTAAAAAAATATTGCTTCTCCATCCCTACCTGCCTTCCAAAATGCTGGCTCACTGTCATCTGATACCTTGACATAGATTTTCCAAGCTAAGTTTAGTAGAAACTGATGAATCCTTGAACGGGAGACCCATGTACTTTCTACTACCCAGTTCATTTTTAGCACTGTGTTAATAGAGCACTCGAAACCATCTGCCTGATGATGTAATAATTTGTATATGAGTCTATTTGATGATTAATAAAGCACAGTAATGTTAAGTGTACAGACTTTGGAACCAGAAAAAACTGACTTGGAATACTGATTCTGTCACTTACTTGCTCTGTGATTTTGATTAAGATGCTTCACCAAGACTCAGTTTTCTCATTTCTAATATGGCATTAAAAATACCCATATAATGGGTTGTTTTTCTCTACATAGAATTCGTTGCATAGTATCCTTTCCACAGATAAAAACTATAAGCTCGGGGCTTCCCTGGTGGCGCAGTGGTTGAGAGTCCGCCTGCCGATGCAGGGGACACAGGTTGGTGCCCCGGTCCGGGAAGATCCCACATGCCGTGGAGCGGCTGGGCCCGTGAGCCATGGCAGCTGAGCCTGCGCGTCCGGAGCCTGTGCTCCGCAACGGGAGAGGCCACAACAGTGAGAGGCCCACGTACCGCAAAAAAAACAAACAAACTATAAACTCTAGACAAAATACAAAAAAAAAAAACGAAACCCTGAGGGGTCAAGAGAGTGAACAGAAGCAGGCAAAGTCAAAATGTGGAGTTAGTCACCAACACAGAGTGAGTTTCCCATTTTCTGGTGGCTTTGACCTATGGACAGATCAAAATTGTGGTGCAATTAAGAGTGACAAAAACTATCATAGAAAGCCCACTATCTTTCTGGCCTGAAAAGCCCAGGGCAGCTAGAGAATGAGGCAAGAATTCCAAAACAGAGAACCAGAGAGGGGAACTCTAAACTCTGTATAAAAACTCAGACATATGCAATTTCATTCCTGGGTGTATAGCTGAAAGAAACAAAAACACTAATTTGAAGATACATACACCCAATGTTCATAGCAACATTATTTACAATTGCAAAGATATGGCAGCAACCTAAGGGTCCATCAACAGATAAACAGATAAAGAAGATGTGGTATATACACACACACACACACATACACACACACACACACACACACGCACTCACACACACAAAATGTAATACTATTCAGCCATAAAAAAGGATGAGATTTTGCCATTTCAGCAACATGGATGACTTGCAGGGCATTATGCTAAGTGAAATAAGTCAGATGGTGAAAGACAAATACTGTATGATATCACATATATGTGGAATCTAAAAAATACAACAAACTAGTGAGTAAAACAACAAAAGAAGCAGACTCAGATATAGAGAACAAATTCGTTGTTGGTTATCAGTGGGGAGAGGGGCAATAGGAGTAGGGGAAAAAGGGGTTATTATGAGATTATATGAAATCATCTGCGTGAAACTTTTGAAAATTGTAATGCACTATAGAATTTTAAAAATCATTCAATAAAAACAAATTTTTTTTAAAAACCGTATTTTGATTTGAATAACATAAAGGCAGAATGCAAGCAGCTCAGATAAAAAACCTACTACTCTTCCAGTTAAAAGAACTGAAGCAAGATTTGAGTTGTTACCCACTACAAGCAAAACAAAATCTTCAGTTTGTTTCAAACCAAGTTAATTTCTTGCTAAACAAAAGCATCGGTACTTTGCAGAGAAATAAAACAGAATCCAGAGACTCTAAAACAACGTTCATAAATGCCAAACACACAATTTAGAATTACTTGACATTAAAAGTACCAAGAAAGTGAGACCTAGTGTCAAAGGAAAAAGTAAAGAGAAGCTAAATTCCAGATGACAAAAATGTTGGGATTATTAGACAATGACTTCAAAGCAGCTAATATTGAACTATGTTCAATGAAATAAAATACAATATACTTGTAATCAATGAAAAGATAGTAAAACTCAGCAGCGGAATCAAATATAAAAGATTCAAATGGAAATTTTAAGAAAAATACAGTCCCTGAAATAAAAAGATTCACTGACTGGGCCTAACAGCGAATGGACTTAACAGAGAAAAATGCCAGAAATCAATAGAAATTATCCAATATGAAAAAGCATGAGGAAAAAATATTAACAGAGCCCAAGGGACATGTAGGACAATATCAAAAGGTCTAATATACAAATAATTGGAGCCCAGAAGAAGTAGAAAAAATTAGAGAAAACTATTTAAAGAAACTAGCCAAAAAAACTTACCAAAATTTGACCAACAACATAAATTTACAGATTCAAGCTGCTCAGAAAACATAAAACAGGATAAATTCAAAGAAAACTATGCCTAGACACATCATAATTAAACTGCTGAAAACCAAAACAAATCTTAAAAGCAGCTACAGAAAAATGACACATTACATATAGGGAACCACAATTCTAAGGGTCACAGGTTTCCCAGCAAATATTATGAGTGATAGAAAACAGCAGAGCAAAATCTTTAGAGTGTTTAAAGAAAAAAAAAAGGTAAAACTGCATATATATATATATATGTCTCTTACAGAAACATCTTTCAAGGATGATGGTGCAATGAAGACATTTTTAGATGAAGGACATTAAGAGAATGTGTTGCCAGCAGACACACACGACAAGATACACTAAAGGAAATTCTTCAGGCTAAAGAGAAGTGATACCAAGGGAAACTTGGGCATTCAGGATGAAGATTAATAATGGGAACTATCTGGATAAATATAAAAGACTGTTTTCCCTTTTAATTTCTTTAAAATACATAATACTTTTTAAAGCAAAACTTACAGCATTTTCTGGTGGAGTTTGTAATGCATGTAGATGTAATATATATGAAAATCAGAGCATAAAGGCTGTCAAGGGTTCATTGTAAATAGAACTATGTAATTGCAAAGTTTCTGTATTTTCCATAAAGTGGTTCAAATAATTCTAAAGAATCTTATTGTTAAGGTATTATTATTATCCCTATTTTACAGAGTAAACATTTCTGAAGCTTTGTAAGTTTAAATATTTCAAGATCACCTGAAGTACAATTTAAGTCTACTTAACTCTGATGCCTATCTTCTTAATCACTGTGCTGTGCTTCTTCATGAATAATTCATATAATCCTCACAACAAGCCTTTGAGTTAAATGCTCATTGAGGATTGGTAACAAAATTTCCTTTGCTTAGTATACTTCTATAAGCTTCTTGGTCCAATTCTTCTTTGCTCTGGAAGTCCCCTAAAATTAATGACTCTCCCCCAGCTTTCCAGGAGGCAAATGGGATCAGCAAATTATACTAGTATTCTTCATTAAATCATTCTACAATTTTTTCTAAGAAAGCTGTATTTCACAAGTTTATCACAACAATACAGTATGCCTGCAAAATTCTTATAAGAATTCTCTCTCTCAGCACTCTTACTATTTAATATTGCTTGTAAAGAGCAGAGAGCATGTAGCATATTAACCCCTAACCTCCAACCCACCCATGGAATTGTGATTAGATCCTGTCAGACCAAATCATTTCCACCACAAAGAAAGTAATAAAAAGGGTCGGACTTCCAATTCTTGACAAAATGGTGAACTAACATGGACTCTGTCTTCCTCCTCCAACTCAGCACTTGTAGTCATGCAGGAGCAGGAAGGAGATTGGGGGGCCTGAGAAAATAAAAAACTGTGAGAAGTCCTTTGAGAAAGAGAAGGTGACTGGCTTTCAGTGCATCGAGAATAGCAGTCCCTATGAAAAGTGAGGGGAAAAAAATTAGATGTGTTTTTTTTCCTGCACATTACAAGTGGGTCACTGTCTTCCAGGCATTTCTGCAAGGCAGAAAATATGTGTTAGGCTAGCATCAAGAAATGGCAATGTTTTCCTGGATGTGAATTCAAAACCACGGACAACAATATCCAGAGTACTTTAAGAATACATAAAGAGTACTTACCGATCAACAACATAAAGTCAAATAATCCTATTACAAAATGGGCAAAGGACTTGAATAGACATTTCTCCAAAGATGATATACAAATGTCCAACAAGCATATGAAAAAGACCCTCAAGGTCACTAATTACTGGAGAACTGCAAATCAAAACCATAATGAGGGCTTCCCTGGTGGCGCAGTGGTTGAGAATCTGCCTGCTAATGCAGGGGACACGGTTTCAAGCCCTGGTCTGGGAGGATCCCACGTGCTGTGGAGCAACTAGGCCCATGAGCCCCAACTACTGATCTTGCGTGTCTGGAGCCTGTGCTCTGCAACAAGAGAGGCCGCGCACCACGATGAAGAGTGGCCCCAGCTTGCCACAACTAGAGAAAGCCCTCGCACAGAAACAAAGACCCAACACAGCAAAAATAAATTAAAAAATTAA